TGCCGTGACAAGACAAGCATGCACTCACATTTACATACACAGTCTCTATCATTCTTTCTGTCTTCTGTCTCTGCCTCTCTCTCTCTCTCTCTCTCTCTCTCTCTTTCTCTCTCTCTCTCTCTCTCCACACACACACACACACATACACACACACACTTAGCCTGAATAAATATTTAAAAAACAAAACTTGTAAAGGCTGGCGATGCAGCTCAGAGGCAGAATGCCAGCCTAGCATGAACAAGACTAGGTTCAATTCCCACCACCACTAAAAAAAATGTCAACAGAACCCCAAGGGGCCAATAGGCGTAAGTCAGAGTGGCACATGGGCTCTGTGTAGCAGTCACAAGAATGGTAGCATCTCTCTTCAAGATGACCTGCTGGAAAAACACAGCTGGCTGACAGTGCCCCTAACCCTGCCCTGGCACCTTTCTGTGCACCTCAGTGCTCATGTTTCCTTGGCTGTTTCCAGCATGGGGTACCACCGCTGGGCCATCTTTCCCTTGTGGAGGTTGCCCTCTGATAGGGTTTTTTGTTTGTTTGTTTTTTAATAGCCCTGCTATAAACTGAGACCGAACAGATTCCAGATTCTTCCTAACTTTTCCTTCTACAGGTGCTGGCTCTTCCTGACTTCCTGACTCTGAGTCTCCCTGTCCCTCTCATCTTTTTTTTTTTTTTTGATACCAGGTCTTACAAAGTAAGCATGGCTGGCCTGGAACTTACTGCGTAGGGCAGCCTGGCTTTGGACTCATAGCAGTCTGTCTGCCTTTGCCTCCCTGGTGCAGAGATTACAGGCATGAGCTTCTATGCCTAGAAGAGGCTTCTATGCCTCTTTAAGTTTTTATTAAAAAAATTTATTTTGCCGGGCATGGTGGTGCATGCCTTTAATCCCAGCACTCGGGAGGCAGAGGCAGGCGGATCTCTGTGAGTTCAAGGACAGCCTGGTTCTACATAGTGAGTTCTAGGCCAGCTGGGGTTACAGGGAGACCCTGTCTCAAAAAGACCAAAACAAACAAACAAACAAACAAAAAATTTATTTTGAGACAAAGTCTTAGGAAAGCCTCCTGCCTCAGCTCCCTCTGTCTCCCAAGTGCTGGGATTACAGGCTTACACCACAATTCCCGAGTTCTTCCAGGAAATTTCTTGCATATCAAATTCTGCATTTATAATCACTTCTTCAAGGATTGGAACTGATCATGGTCTGGATCCAGCAGTACCAGTTGACCTTTGGGGTGGGCAAAGCTGGGGAACTTTATCATATTTGGAGAGGCCTGTGGACAGAATCAATTGTACAGTGTTTGGAAGAAAGGCTGCAGAAAGGTACAAAAATCAGGAAAAAATGAATAAATGCTCATCAGCAAATGTAATGAACTGGGTCACCTACAATGCATGCTCACCTTAAGGAAGTAAACACCAGGTAAACATGGGTTTTACTTTATTTATTATCATTAACATCATCATAATTATTGAGATAGGGTCTCACTATGTTGCCCTGGCTGGGTTGGACTTTGATAGGTAGACTAGGATAACTTTGAACTCACAGAGATCTGCCTAACTCTGCCTCCTGATTGAGTCATGGTATTAAAAGCCTGTGCCACTATGCTGGCCAGTGCTGAGTTTTAACCTTGAATCCCCTAACTCTCCATCTCTGGGAAAGTCACTCAGGGTTAATTTCCTCTTCCATAAATTGGGAATAGATTTTACTGAGTTGTTTGAAAGATAGAGATGGCCCCAGCTTTCTCAATTTAGAATAGCCTGTTAATTACTAGTGTTTCCGTTTAGGATCAGAAAGCAGTTCTTCTTGCTTGAAGCCAGACAGGAGCTGGTTTGAAAGAGAAAGGCCTTGGGTCTGTCCTAGGAGTGGGCTTTGGAACCCTGCCTCTCTGGTGATGGGAGAGAGGCTGGGAGAAGTGAGTAGGCTCTTCTGTCTTTATGGCTGAAGGATCCTATATGGTATGACCTCCTGTGGGGAACTCAGGGAGGCGGGGGTGGGGCATGGGGAAGATGGGGACCTTGGAATTTAAGGTGATTTCTGGGCATTACTGGGACTAGAGCCTGAAAGTGCACTCAGGGACCATACTTAGGAGGCCAAAGCCCTTGGGGTTCTGCCCCTTTCCTCTGCTCTAGGCCAGCAGCCCAGAGAGAAGTTAAACAATGCTATACTCATTTCCCTAGGCCCAAGGGAACTGAGCCTAAGTGGAGTTACTTTTAAAGGGCTCCCTTGTCCTCCTAGGGGGCAGCCTATAGTATAGGACTTGGCTGGAGTGGGGATCAGAGCTGACTCAGTGAAAAGTAGGAATTTGAGAAGATATAGTGTTGGTGTCCAGTCCTGAGACGTCCCTTTACTGGTGACTCAGCCCATAGCACCCTCCAGTTCTGGCCTGAGCAGTTCCCACTGGAGCCAGCAGAGCCCCACAATCTATTACTTCCTAGTGGCTTTTTCTAAGAAGTCCATTTTCTGGAAAGAATTTTTTTTTTTTTTTTTTTTTTGAGACAGGGCTCCCTGTAGCCCCAGCTGTTCTAGAACTCACTATGTAGACCAGGCTGGCCTTGAACTCACAGAGATCTGGAGATCTGTCTGCCTCTGCCTCCTGAGTGCTGGAATTAAAGGCGTGCACCATGGAAAGAAAATTTAATGACAAATTCTTTGGGCTGACTCTAGTCAAAAAAGGGCCCAGCAGGTACTATTTGTATTGTTGTGTCCTCGTCTCTCTTCCACCTCACATTCTCCTTGCATATCACAGGTGTTCAGTTCTGGCCTTCAGGATGCTCTATGGCCCAGCACCCCTTTTCTCCTTGGGGAACAGGAACCAAGAAGCGAATCATAGCAAGGGATTTCATTCGTCTCCTCCTTCTCCAGAGAGAGCAGTGACTAAGCCGGGCTAGTTTGGATTCTTTGCACATCAGAGTGGAGTGAGTGGGGAAGTTTGCTGAACTTATGGGTCCTTACCCATAAGCCCATTCATCCTCCGTTCTTCTGTAACCCTGCCTCTGAATCCTCTCTCCTTCAACCTTATATGGACTTTCTTGGCTCTCCCAGTGTGGCTGGTTGGCCCATCTGACAGTTTCTCTTCTCCTTCTTCCCTCCTGCTTGGGAGGCATGCACACCTGGGGTTGGACACTTTGGGCAGGCTACCTACCCTCTCTGTGCTGATTCCTACATCATAAAACAGGATGACACTGAGGAGACTGAGCTATTCTGAGGAGTAAATGGAAGGAAGCAGATCCAATAGCAGGCCCAGGTATCTGGGCTTTCTGCTACAGACACTAGTGAAGGGACTGATTGACTGCTATAGGTCTGGAGCTGCTGTTAGCCCCAGGTAAGAAAGAATGAGCAGGGAATGGGATAGGAGTGGTAGGCTCCTGAGGCTCTAGAAGCTCCTAGACTTGTCAGCATATTCTTTGTAATTCTTAGTTCTTCCCTTGCACACACAATGATCCCTTTTTCATTTGAAAATGCATCCTCCTTTAAGATGCATTCATTCTTGGGTCTGGAGAGATGGCTCGGTGGTTAAGAACACTGGTTGTTCTTGCAGAAGACCCTGGTTCGAATCCCAGCACCCACATGGCAGCTAACAACTGTCTGTAACTCGAGTCCCAGGGGATCCAGCAGCCTCTTCTGACCTCTGAGGGCACTGCACGACACGGGTGCACTTACCTACATGCAGGCAATACATGCATACACATAAAATTAAAAAATAAATATTTTAAAAAAGCATTCTTAGCTGGCATGATGGTCACACCTATAATTCCAGCTACTCTAGAGGGGGAGGCAGTATGATCATGTGTTCAAGTTCAGCATAGGAAAGGTGAGACCCTCGCCCATCTCACAAATATAAAATATAGCAGGAACCCCCCCATCTTAAAATAAAAGGTATTGAAGTATCCCTGCCTAACTTGACGCAGAGTCTATGTCTCCTCTTGACATTCCTTTTTTTTTTTAAATAGTCACCCTACTCTGCAAGAGCACCACAGAATGCTATATTCTTTTTTAAAAAGTTTATTATTTTGTGTATGTGTATATTGCCTGCATGTAGGTAAGTGCACCCGTGTCGTGCAGTGCCCATGGAGGACAGAAGAGGCTGTCAGATCCCCTGGAACTGAAGTTATAGAGAGTTGTTAGCTGCCATGTGGGTGCTGGGATTTGAACCCAGGTCTTCTTCAAGAACTGTCAGTGTTCTTAACTGCTGAGTCATCTCTCCAGCCCCTTCATTCCTTTCTTTAAGGGCTAATCCAAGTAGGGATGCTCTGGACCTGATGTCATTCTTTATTATTATATTTTTATTTATTTTTTGGTCTTTTTGAGACAGGGTCTCCCTGTAGCCCCAGCTAGCCTGGAACTCACTATGTAGACCTTGAGGCTGGCCTTGAACTCACAAAGATCTGCCTGCCTCTGCCTCCCGAGTACTGCCACTAAAGGTATGTGCCACCACGCCCGGCCTCTTTTTTAAAATTATTTTTAAAAAATTATTTATTTTAAGTGTATGAGTGTATTACCTTCATGTATATAAGTGCAATGCTCGAGTAGGTCAGAAGAGGATGTTGGCACCCCTGGAACTGGAGTTACAGAGAATTGTGAGCTGCCATGTGGGTGTTGGAATTTGAACTCGGGTTCTCTGTAAGAGCTGCTGGTGCTCTTAACCATTGAGACAACTCTCCAGCCTCCGATGTCATTCTTAAAAGGCTTTTTTTGTATCCCTGGGTGGCCTGGAACTCTCTATGTAGACCAGGTTGGCCTTCTCCAGAGTGCAGGGATTAAGTGTATACCACCAGACCCTGCCTAGGCCTTTTAATGGCAACTTAGAAGTTGAGTCTGTTAGTTAACCTATTTGAAGCCCTCAAAGGCTCCATGGTGTGGCAGAGGCCCACTGTACCTGCTCAAGCAAGCTACATTTTGTATTAGTGTCTCTACTAGCAAGTTTCCTCTTCTGATCTGACCTGGGGCAACCATCATCTAGAAGACTTGTGGACCCATAGTTCAGAGGTGGAAATCAAAGAGCTGCTCACTTTATACAAAAGTTTTATTAAAATTTCAGCCCTTACAAGCAGTCTATCAAAATATATACAGTTTAAATAAATGCATTAGACAAGTGGCAGCCAGATACACCCAGCCACAATCACAACCTCAAAGCCTTGTAGGGAAGGAAGGATTTCTGAAGAGGTTCCTAGATCCCTAGGAAGGGGCTGGGCACAGGAATCTTTGGATGCTTGAGGGACTGGGTCCCAGAGCTATAAGGCAAGGGCCCTCCTTCAGTTTTCCTTAATCTGGTAAGTGTAGGAAATTTGGAGTCTGGAGCAGAAAGGCACAAAATGCATTTCTAAGGCACCATTCCAGTCCTGAGGCACATGGGGTGGATGAATGGGGGATCAGAGCCACAGGGACCTGGGCACTGGTCATGCACTTGGCTGGTGCCACCTTTGGGTTGGCCACAGGTAAATTATTGTTGATCAAGTGGACTGCACAGGCCCAGCAGCCAGGGGCCTACAGTCAGTCTTTAGATCAAATGTACAGCTTCAATAACACACTGGTGTCTGGCCCTGCCAGACAGGGACCCCACAGGTCCCTAAAAGATTCCTCCAGTAGGAGCAGCAGGCCTCCTAACTGGATGTGTCCTCTGAGCCACTGTGGGCATTCACTATGGTCAAGGATCCCCTAAGGGCAGTCCTTGCCATCTAGACATCTAGAGAAGCCCCCAAGCCTCAGAGCGTATGTGTGTGTGTGTGTGCGTGTGTTTCTCTGAACAAAGGCAGAAGCTGCTGGCCCACAGTCATTGGTGACAGGCTTCTCTGGTGACATTAGGTAATGGGTAGGCAAAGAGGGAAAAGTCCAGGATATACTTAGGCAGCACATCCTGCAGCAGGGCCCGTGGGGCACTGCACAGGTGATAGTGCAAACTTTCGGGGCTGGCTGGCCGGTACCAGGCCTGACGAGCTGGGAATCGGACATGAGGTGGGGCCCGCACCCACTCTAGCACCTGGTTGGCATCAGCCTCTAGCCTCTCATAGGAGCCCACAAAGTCGTAGCGAACAGCACAAGGCTGGCACAGGTGGTACACAGGCATCCAATGCTCATTCATGTGCTCAGGGTCCTCGTCCACAAGGTATCTCAGGAACTCTGGGAAGGTGACATCGTCCCCGGCCGGGCTGGGACCAGCTCCAGCCCGGTAGCGCCTGACAATCTCGGCCCCATAGCGCTGCTGGTACTCTCTGATCTCACCAAACTTGTTGCGGTAAGCAGACAGAAGGCGTTCTAAGGGGTCCCGCACAAACAGGAACTTGAAGTAGTGCTGCAGGCGGTAGCGAATCTCCTCCGGTCGCAGATCTGCCAGAAACACCAGGTCACTGCGGTGGTCCATCTTGAGGCGAACATCCACGCTGTCCAGGACGCCCGCCAGCACCTTCAGCACGCGCTTCCAGTTAGAGCAAGCCACTTTAGGGACGTAGCAGTAGAGGAAGCGATAGCGGTCACTTACAAGGATATGGCGCAGCAGGGTGCGCCGCTGTCCCACCGGCAAGTCCCAGGGGTCCTGTGGCATGCCGGGTTGTGCGCACACCGCCCGCAAAGTCCGGTTCCGAACGTCCTGTCGCACTTGCAAGTCCGAATTCCCAGCATCCAGAGGCAGGCTCCCAAGTCTGGAGGCTGTCCCGCGCCAGGCCGCGCCCTTGTGGCTGGGAGGCTGCAAGGGAAGGGGCTTCATCTCTGCTAGGATACCCCGCTCGATCATGAGCAACAGCCCGCTGGAGGCCACGATTACCGCGAACATCAGCATGGACGGCAACAGCAGGGGCGGCCCCCCATGCCCGGCCCGGGCCCTGCCCAGCCGGGCTCGCCGCAGCGTCCGGCCCAGGGGCTCCACACCATTCGGAGCCGCTAGGGAGGTCAGAGGGCGGGGGAACATGCTGCTACGGGTGTGGGCCTGGGCAGGCCTCGGCGGTCTCAGGGTAGGCGTCTGGGGCTAAGGCTGCCGCTCCGAGGTCTCCGGAGGGAGGGTTGGTGGGCGGCTGCTGCGACTGCCCGGGGCCGGATGTCCCGCCCGGTTGGTCCCCGCCCCCCGCCCCTCCGTGACACAGGCGCAGGGGCGGGCCCAGGTTAGGGGCGTGGAGAGGGGCGGGTGCTGGGGTGGAGACGGCTGGGGAGGCTGCAGGCGAACCCCCGTTGCAGACCCCCTCAGTCCCTCCGGCTTGGTGACAAAAGCTTAATGAGACCTCGAAGGCGGAAAATAGCTAGGCCGAGGTCCTGTGCCTCGCAGCGTGTATCCTGAGAGCTGGACGGAAGATCAGCGCCCATCGTCTTGCCACAAAACTGCCCACTCAAGAGCCTTCCCTGAACAGTGGTTTGAAGGCAGGGCAGTCCATGGCACTCTCGGGTCCAGACACAAAGGAAGTTGTCCAGGTTGGAAGCAGGGTCCCTAGCCGCCCTTACCTCCCTCAGCCCAGCAGGTCACAGCCACTCCAGAAAGAGTAGCAAGACTGTCAGGCACTGACTTATGTCTCCATGGTGACATTTTAGTTTGGTAATACCTGGGGACCACGTTATCTACTGGGCAATGTAGCAGTGTCAGGAAATGTAATCTCCCCTCCAACTCTGAAGCAGTGAGCTAACTGGGAAAGGCTAGGCAGGGGCTTAAGGACACGTGCCTCAGGAGCATTAGTGTAGCCAATACACATTTTGGGGTGACCTGGGGGATACAGTGGCTGGCACATAGCAAAGGGTCTCCTTGTTTGGAACCAAGGATGTGCTCAGCAGCACCAGCATGGCTCCTGCAATTATAGGCATCCCCACGTGTCCATATTTTTGTTGGTCTTATTCCAGAACGATTTCTAGTCACACTGGACTATAACACAGAATGGAAGGAGGTAGCAGGTGGCCTCAGGACAGGTTGTAATTAGAGGGTGATGGAAGGACAAGATACTGGCGAGAGGATGTAGTTAATTGATCAGACAGATGAATGGTTCTGAGGGATAAAAAGCAAACGGCTCATGGATAGCCTCCGATCCCAGCAATGAGAGCACAGGGTAAGGGGTCAGGACAAGGAAGCCTGGTGACCTTCCAACTCCCTAGAGCTGGCTCCCTGTATCATAGTTGGAATGCTGAGGTGCATTCTCAGTCACTTGTTACCCTTGACCACAGCCACTTTGATCACACTGCTGCTGGCTTCCAGTAAAGGTACATATTTCTGGTGGTGGGATTATTTGGTACTGCATCTGTTTGTAAAATGACAGGATGCCAATTCTTAAAGGGCTCTATGGACCCTGACTGTAGGGCCAGGCCATGGTGGCATCTGGATCACTAACAACCTCTGTAGAGAGCTTTAGAGATGGGAACTCATGCTCTGCATTCCAAGCCTGGCAAGGAGCGCCAGTTGCAAAACACTGGTCCCTAAATTTCTGCTGGCCAGCCCCTCAAGGTGATGATACAGAATCTTCATGTACCTGCGTAGTTGAGGCTAATTTCCACTCATGCCAGGGGACAACTGGAAACCCAGGGATTTCAGAGCCAGAAGGTGGCTGTGTCTATTCAACTTCAAGCTCCCATTTCCTGTTTCCTTTCCTCAGTCTCCTTTTCTTCTACTTTCTCCCCTTGTTAGCCTCATAACCAGGACTCCTGAAACAATAGTGAACCCCTCCACATTTACATGCCCCCCAAAAAGGACAAGACACACAGGAAATATTCCTTTTCTAAATCAATACAATTTCTCAAATTTATTTATTTTTTCTTAAAGAAGTACTTCTAATCTCTGTCAAAAGGGAAGTGAGTAAAGGTACCCCCTCCCTTGTAAACACTGAAATACAGATCTGGGAAACCAGGATCGACACACACAAAAAGTGCATTTTACAAAATATCAACTAAAATATATTTTACATGGATTATGCTTCCATTGAAATTCTACCAGCTGCATTTTCATGTTCGAAAAAATATTTCCACATCTAAGAGATTTCAAAAGCATTTAAGATCTGGGCAGCAGTTCCAAGCCTCCTGGGAGGAGGGCCTTATCTCCTCTTCTGTAGGTGAGTCTGGGCTCCTTGGCACCACCCTACAATGAGCAGGCTCCAAAGGGGGCCAGTGCCACTCCACCAACCTCTCACTACCTCACCTTCCCAGACTGATGCCTTCTTCCAAAGAGCTTATTCAATTCAAGAAGATCCAAGTCTCTTAAGGTTTGGGACCTGGCTTCTAAAACACAAATCATCGTTGAGGCCTCCAGCCCTGACCAATCAGAAGCAATCTATCATCTAAGGATGAAGACCCAGACTTGGGGTTGCCAAGGCGGTATCCTCAAAATTCACTATCACCTCCCATTGTAGCCTGTGCCAAACTGTCCTTACCCCTACCTCCTCAGACCGCTGAACCTGTATCTCTTCACTCTAGGGGAGGACCCAGCTGCTTTCCATAGCACATGCCCTGGGGACATGCCCTTGTGTTAGTGCTCAGCTAGCAGGCTCCCAGCACCAGCCCCAAACCACATAGTATCCTCCCCCACCCCCATGCTCCTCTTTGGTACAAACAGGAAATAACCAGGCCTCCAAACCCTCAGAGAGCCCAGGTCCAGTCCAAGCAAGGACGACAGGGGGCTGAGTGTCCTGATCAATCTACTCTGGCGGGGAGCATGAGGTGAGAACAGTCTCTGGGCAACAGGAACAAACTAAAAATGCAGGTCCTTAGCTCCTGGAGTGAGTGGCTGCAGCTCAGCAGGTCAGTGGACTGATACAGTGTTGATTCTCGCTGGGATGAAAATTAGTGCAATCTACAAAAGACTAGGGTAAGGGGTGGCAGGGCAGGGGGAGCCACAGCACTCCTTTGGTTTGATTTCAGGTGGGTGTGGCTTGAAGAGTCATGTGTGAAGTTCTGCAAGAGGTTTCCCAGAACCTCCAAGTATAAGGCAAGAGGAAAAATCTTCAACAAATCAGGTAGCAATTTTCCTTGCCCCCTGCCCCCCACCCTCTCCCAGCACTCATCTGCTCTCCCAGACATGACAAACCCCATGTTGACCAATATTCTGGGAATCCAGACCTGCTGGGTGGCTCTCAATGGGAAGCTGACAGGAGGCTGACTCCCACAGGTGGGCCACAACTCTGACTGTGAGGGCCAGGTCAACTTGTGCCAGCACCAGTGGCTATGCAGGGGTAAAGGAGGAAAGCCAGGGAAAAGCCTTGAGTCCAGGAAGAGGGAGTCAATGCTCTGGAAGCCAGAGTTGGGCTCTCTTGCCTCACTGGAACAAGCCAGAGCTGTGCTAGAATCTGGAGAGCCTGGTCCCAGGCTGATAGGGAAGCAGCAGGTCACAGTGGGTGAGGTAAAGCTGGCTCCTGTTCCCCTTGGAAGGCCTGGGGGAGGCTAGAAAAGGGCCGGGTGGGCTGGTTCTGGAAGGACCTTACCCCTCCACTTTGACCCTGTCCTTCCTTGGCCCATGTCCCTCAGGCTTGGTCCAACTTCAGGGAAGACTGATTCTTCGGGAGTCTCCACCCAGGGGTCCACAGATGGGTAACCCAGGCCAAGCTGAGGGCTCTGATGCCATTCTTATATCCTGGCCTTCCTTCCTCCCACAGGGCCCAGAACCTATAGGGACCCCTGCCCTCCCTCCCCCCCCAAGAGAACCACAGGCCAGCAACCTGTGGTCCCTTAACCAAGTGCTGTGCTTCAAGCAGTGCCTCTGCCCTGGGCCCCACTTGCCCAAAGTTAGCCCCAGTGTGAGCATGAGGAGCTACTGGGGGTTCTTGAGGATGCGGCCATGGCGGAAGTCATAGACATGGCGGCAAAGGAACACCAGCTCAGGGTCCGTGTCCTCCGGCACTGTGCGGTGTGGTGGGGTGGAGTAGTCTGCAGATGGGGGCACCAGTGCTGTCTTTCGGCTAGGAAGGCCCTCACCTCGGCGCTTGGCCATGGCACAGAATCTGCAGTGACAGATTTGCTATCTTTAGCACAGTCACCTTTTCAGGACAACCAATACCTTCCCCACCCTACCCGGGGAGCTAGGAATGCTCTGTCCCCAAGGTAATGCTGTCTCCACTCCTATACGAGGCTTTGCTCACTCTGCCAACCTCCAGTTCATCCTGGCTCCTGGAGAGCTATACCTGCCAGGGTTTCCTTCCCAAACACCTCCCAGGGTTCCTAGTTTTTCCTCCCCCAAAAATGTCACCCCCAGTTCTGCTAATTCAGTACAATTTGTTAACGGGGGGGGGAAAAAAAAAGGTGTTAAACTGGGCATGGTGGCACAAAGCCCTTATTCCCAGTACTTGGGAAGCAGAGGCAGGTAGATCTTTATGAGTTTAAGGCCAGCCTGGTCTACATAGTTCCAGGCCAGCTGGGGCTACAGGGAGACCCTGTCTCAAAAAATAAAGAATAATAATTTTAATAAAGTGATAGAGACAAGTTGTAAGGAAGAACATTCTGAGCCAGTGAGATTGGACTCAGTGCAGAAAATGGAAAATGATTTCCCTGGGAACTCTATGTAGTTGCCCAAACAGCCCTAGTGAGTCTGAGGGGAGGGGCCAGATAAGGGGGGCAGGGCACTACTTACCTGCAGTACTCTGCAAAGGTCAGCACATAGCATTTCTCTTCGATGCACGCCACGCTATTCTGGTCCTGATGTCGTGATGCAAAAACTTCATTCTGCAAAGGCTCAAGGGGAGAGAGGAGCGGGTTGGTTACAGGGTCTAGAAAGAGGCACCTAATTCCAGGAACAAGGCAGGCAGCACTCCTCTGGAGGAGTGACCTGAGCTGATGCCAGCAAGCCAGTGAGCTTCCCCAGAACTCAGTCTAACCTAAATCGTGACCCCTGTCTGCCACCCCCTGCCCTAGAGAAGGAAATTCCTGTAAAGGTAAAGGAAATAAAAGGTCACCTTGTAGGCACACAGCTCAGTGGAGAGCTTGGAGCTGTTGAAAAACAAGGTGTTATGTGCAGCTCCACCCCATGGTCCTGTTGCCAGGACACACCTACTCACTTCCATTGCGGCATGTCCCCTTCCCATCATTCCCTCTAGAATATAAGTTGGGGTAGTGTCTGGGAGAGGCTACACCCCCCCAGGGACTTGCTGATTCCCTCCCTATGCCATGTCTTAGTGCCACAGTGTGTCCTTCTGAGATCTTAACCCCTTCCCATTCCTGCCAGGGAGCTCACCTCATGCATGCTGGGACTACGGCCTCCCTGTAAGTGCTCAGGCCTGTAATACCACAGGAGGCTCATCATCAGTTCTCCTAGGGGGATGGGAGAAAGCAACAGAAGAGGTCATGGCTGGAGCTGGCCACTCTGCTTAAGACAGGCTGATTACCTGCCCTAGGGGCCTGTCCAACCTCAGCTCCTGGCCCAACCCTACAGGCTTTGGCCCCTGCCTAAGGCTAAGCATTCAGCAGCCTGGAATGCTGTTAAGCATGGAGAGATGGGTGGGAAGTCACTGATGGATGAGGCAGGCGACAGGTGCTCAGATTTGGTGGCTAGCAAGGTGAATGTACAGATTCAACCCAAGCCACAAGGTCAGTGCAGCTTCTGTATCAAGACAGATGCCAGCTGAGGGGAAGGCAGACTGGTGGAGACTCATACCAGGCGGAACTCTAGGCAGGAGCCAACAAGAGTACCTGGCAAAGGTAGCTGCCCCTTGGGTTCCCAGCCTGAGGGGCAGGTACCTGACTCAGGGTTCTCCCAGAGGGCAGAGATCTTAGCCACATAAGGTGTGGACGTCTTTCTTGGGCCCGACTTAAGGAGGACAGTGTCACGGACTCGGATTGTCTCTCCATGTCGCTCAACTGCTTGGTAGCTCTTTCGGATAGCAGGTTCTGGTTCATCCTAGACAACAAACCAAGGACACAAACAAGCTTTCAGGGCCAGAATCAGAATGAGGATGGAGGGAAGGGAATAATACCCACTCTATGATTTCATCAGGGCAGTTAATCCACTAAGCATATCCTCATGCTGGGTCCTCCTCTCCAAGCCTGGCTTTCAGGATGGGGATAAGGAACCTCTATGCTTAGAGAAGAAACATGGAGCTAGTTCTCTAGGCTCATTTCAGTACTGGCTCTTGCTCCCTAATGGGACAGTCTGGGTTTGAATCCTTAAATTGCTATTTATGTGGCATAGCCTTGGGTAAGTTATCTGACCTATCACTAAGCTTCAGTTTCCTCATCCGTAAAAGGGGGATAATTATAGGACCGTGGGGTACAAATCAAATAGGGTAGTGGTGAGGATTAAAGGGGATAAAGTATGCAAAGTGCTTAGCTTAGTTCTAGCATCAAATTTTAGAAGTGTTCAATGCATTTTAGTTGACATTCTTTTCTCTAGCCCAGATATTCTTCTATCACTTAACTTTCTCTGTCCATCTCAACTTCCCCTATACATACTTATCCAAAAAGATCTCCAGAGTCTTCCGTTTTACAGTGAAGAATGGAAGACAGAGTGAGCAGGGATGAGAGGTAGAAGACACACAGGTCACTGAGAGTTAGTGACATGGAAACCAGGGCATATGGTATAGGGCTGGTGATATAGGATCAGTAGGAGTTTAGGAAATGGACTTGGTCAACATGATTGGTTCCTGAAGTATAAGTGAACTGGAGTGCCTCACTGCCTCTCAGAGTAGCCAGACTCATATTATTGCATGCCCTGTGTCCCTGCTACCCCCACCCTCCCTCTTCCCATCTGTTAAGAGCTGGCACTACTTACCAAGACATACACTGCCTTCTCACAGGCAGCACCTACAGGCACCCAGCCGTTAGTGCGGCGGCGACGTCGCCGACGAGGGCGTGGGCGCTGGGCACGTGTCTGCTTGGGGTGGCTGGGTCTTCGGGCAGCCTTGCTTCTCACAGTGTGCCTGCAGCTGGAGCCTGTGCGCAGACCCGACTTGGAACCACTAGGAGGCTTGGCACTCTGAGGGCATGCCCGGGCTACTGTCTGGGGCTCTGAGGTGGGTGTTTGAAGATGGGGGATGGGCTCTGCTGCAGGTGGCACACTGGGCACAGGGCATCCCAAGAGGGGGTGGGCAGGCGAGGCTGGGTGGCCAGCTTCTGGGAGAGGAAATTCCAGCTGGCCCAGGGATCTGCAGCCTTCTAGAAAAAGGAGAGTGGGTTAAGGCAGGTATAGATAAGCTGCAACCCCTTTAGCCATCTACTTTCAGATCCCTTGCCTATCTTAGTTTCAAAGGCACAACTCAAAGACCAGTGAGGTGACAGGTGGGACAAGGGTCTTTCTTGACTCTGGAGACTGGCCAGCAGACATTTCCATTTCCCTTCTAACTGAAAGGAGCAATAGCAAAAAAGCTTTGTTAGTTCTGACTTAGCTACTTCAGGGTTTTCACAGTACAGAGCAAGAGTTCTGGAGTGAGACAGACCAGGATGTGAGTCCAGCCCCACACCTACCACTTACCAGCCATGTGACCTCAGGCAAGTCACTCTGCTCCTCTGTGCAATGTTAAGTGGTGCTGATGAGTATTACACAGAATTTCCTGTTTTCTTCATGAACAAATTAATTTATTTCACCCTTATAACAACTAATAATGCCACTTTACAATTGAGGAAACAGACACAGCAGCAGTTCCTGGCTTGTCCCAGTCATGTAGAAAGTATGTGGGGGAGAACACTGAACTCCAGGCAGTTTGGCTCCAGAGTCTGCCTAATTATATGCCTTGTGACCTCCTGTATGTAAAGAACTGAGAATAGTGCTGGCACATGGTACTTTCTGATGGTCTTATTATTAGGGTGAGGGGTAAGAGTCTACATTTAGACAGTGACACAAAAGAGGGAAAGCCCAAGAGTCTTAAGACTCCAATTCATGCTAGACCCTCATACAACCAGTCTGGCCAGAGCCAAGTGGTCTATAAAGTTGTTTTATAGACCCCTACATGAAGGGGTATAGGGAGAATAGGAGTTCGGAGAAGGCCCAGCCCTCACTTCCCCTGCAGCAGGGCAGACCTGCTGGTCAGGATGGCTCCAGTCCCTTCATTTCTACCCAGAAACTGGATACAGCAGCCTGGACAGACAGGTACAGACAGTCTCAGGCTGTCTTACCAGCTAAGCATGATCCACTCAGGTGTGTGGCTCGTACTAGGGAAGGCAGACAACAAACGTGTGGGCACTGATCCTACTGCAGCCGTACCAGTGAGCACTGATAATCTGTTCTTGCGCATGCTCACCCTGCCCACACCTGGGTGTCCACAAGATGTCATGTCTGGGTACCTCTCTTTTTCTTCAAAGCCTTTACAGCCAGGGCAAAACTGGCCTACTACACCTGGCACCACCTCCTGAACCCCTAACCATTAACCTTCCTATGACTGCTGAACTCAGCCAGCATGCAGACGGTCTGGGGTCCTACAACATGAAGAATACTAGGTGGAACATGGGCAGGACAAAACAGAAGGGACATGGGAATGGCTTGGTAAAAACCCTAGTTTCTTTCTTTTTTCTTTAATCCCCTAGGACTGGGGACTGAACCTAGGCCTTCATACATGCTAGCTAAGCAACCTTTTCTTTTCTTTTTTTTTTTGTCTTTTTTGAGATAGGGTTTCCCTATAGCCCCTGCTGACCTGGAACTCACTATGTAGACCAGGCTGGCCTCAAACTCATAGATATCCTCCTGCCTCTACCTCCTGAGTACTGGGACTAAAGGTGTGCACCATCATGCCCAGCTATGCTAAGCACCCTTTTCATTACTGAGCCCCCAGCCCTTCTTCTTCTATTTTTGTTTGTTTGAGACAGGGTCTCACTTTGCAACCCTGACTAGAGTTGAACTCAATCCTCCTGCCTTGGTTTTTCAAGCAGCTGAGATTATAGGGCTGTACCAGTAGGACCCACAAAGCCCTAGTATCTATCTAAGAGTCTGAAAATGGGAATTGCAAAGTGAGAGAAGAGACCCTTTGGCCCCCTCTTACCAGAGGCAATGCTAGATAACTGCTAAGCCAAGAAATCTCACTGATAGCCTGGGCAAAGCAAACCATAAGAGCTAAGCATGGAGCTCTTTCCTGGGATTGTTCCAAGGCCTAGGACATTGTCTAAGTGAGTCAAGTCCTCCCTTCCAGGTAGTAGTTAGACTCAATGGAGCCCCTGTTAGAGCTACAGCTCAGCTTCTTGGGATGTCATTTTTTTTTCTTTCTTTTCTTCTGGAACTCACCATGTAGACCAGGCTGGCCTTGAACTCAGAGATCTGCCTGCCTCTGCCTCCCAAGAGCTCCACCACCCGGCTGGGATGTCATTTCTTAAAGACTCCCTAGCACACCCTATGCCCGTTTCCGAAGGCTTACCTGCTGCAAAAGGCATTTTGTAGGGGCAGCCGCCACAGGTAGTGCCAATGTGGGTCAGAGACAAAGGCAATACTCCACAGAAGCTGTAGCTGTTCACTCCAGTGTCCTCACTAGAGCAGTAGCGAGATGAGCTCCAAGGAGGATGCTGGAAAGGGATGCCTGAGGGCACTGAGCTTGGGGCCATAAGGAGCCCCTCGTTAGGGGATGCCATTGGAGACAACTTGCCCTCTGGAAGCATGGGACAAGGAGAGTAGCCTCCACACTGCAGTCCATCTTGGCCACAGTACAGGTAGAAGCTGCCTAGTGCAGTGAGCTCAGGCCCTCCACACAGGCCACTATAGTCGGCAGGGTTGCCAGGCATCGGCAGGGGGGACAGCTGAGGTGCAGGGAAAGAGGGCTGATGCAGTTCCTGCTTGGGGGCAGGTGACTCCTCACCTGGACGCCCAGGCTCTGGCTTCAGGGCTGCTTGCCCACCCATCAGCACAGGCAGATGAGGGCGAAGCCCTAAGGGGTTCTTTAGAGCTTTGACTGGTGGCTGGTAAGGTGGTTTGACGGATGGCCCACCAGGAGTAGCAGATGGCCAAGGCTCATCAAGTTGCTCTTGCCAGCTAGGGGGCCCTGCAGCCTCCCCAGAGCCAGCCCCCTGCCGGGCCTTGGGACAGTTCTTTCCATTAACCTTGGCCCACTTTGGCCGCAGGATCTTGGGTGCCAGGGACTCAGTGGAACGCCCATCTGCTTCTGCCTGGGCACGAGAAGGTCGAAGAGGTAGCTCCCGCTCCTGGCTGAGTTTCAAGAAGGCAGCTGCGTTCAGGCTAGCCAGTCTCTTGGGAGCTAGATCTCCATCTCGGCGGGCACCCTCATCTGGGGTTGGCTCCGGGGACAGGTCCCGACTTCCTTCTCCGAGGTCTCCCAGCCGAGGTCGCTTTTTGGAGGAGGACCAGCCCCCAGTGGTGCGGTCCCGGCTCCGGTGGGGGTCTCCCCCTCGGCTTCGCCGGGTGCCTGTCAGGCTGCTGGTGTCCTCCCGTTCCAGCAGCAGGTTATTGAGAGCCTCTGCATTGAGGGAGGCCAGGCGCCGCTTGCGGGGTTGCACAAGACCAGTGTCCTCACTGGATGGGGTGGGGCTAGGAGGCTTGGGCAGGTCAGGGGGCAGTTCATCAGCTTCATCTGCACTTCGTGGACCAGCCACATTTTCCAGGCGAGTCAGCAGCACTTTGCAGGCTTTGGGCTTCTCTGGAACCAGTGAGCGCTTACGTAATGGGTAGTTTTTGCGGCGCCCTGTGAGGTGCCCAGGGCTCTCTGGCATGCTTGGCTCCACATCCTCAGCGCCCTGCTCCATATTGCTATCTTCCATCTGCAGGGGCTCCTGACGGCCAGTGGGGCCAGAACTCAGCATGGGAAGGGACTTCCTCCGAGTGTGTGTCATGGAGTCCCTCCAACCTGCAGGACGAAGGTAGGCAATGAGAAGAGACAGCCCCTGCCAGCTTTTTCCTCCACTGAGGCCCACCCAGCCTCACCTGTAGTAACTCTGGATCATTCCTACTCTTGTCTCCAGCCTGGATTTTCCTGGGACTTGCTTTCCATAATGCAAGGGTTCATGTGAACAGGCTACCAGTAGCTGTGCAAGGACTGGTCCCTCCACTCTCCTTTTAGCACAGACTCCTTATGAATTAAGACCCTGAAAATCCTGAAGAGTGATGTAGACATCAGTGCTAAGGCACAGGAGGAGCTGAAGGCAAAGCTCAGAAGACTTTACTGGTTTTCCTCCTACCAGACATTCAAGTCACAGCCAGGATGGGGTGTAGTTGGTTAGGAGCCTTTCAGAAATACTGCCAAAGTACTACTACCTCCTACCTTAACTCAAGGCTTTTGAGGTTGGCCACAGGAGGATAAAGAGGTAGACAGACAGGAATTAAGTCAAGGAACCTGCTTGCTGAGCAGGGAAGAAGGGCAAGTCCATCCTGTGAGGACCTTCTTCCTGGTATATAAAGCTAAAGAACCACAACTGGATTTTGTTGGAAAAGCCCTAAGAAGAGTAAGGCCTAACTGATAAGCCCATGGCTGGGGAGACCTGAGTGAGCCCTAGGAGGCAGTTCCATTTAATTTGGTTCATATTCAAAAGGATGTTAGTCAGGCTAGGATCAGAACTAGCACAGAGACTAACTGGTGATTTACCAAATCTTGCCCTGTCCCTCAGTTCTTTTCCTTGGCGGGTAGATGTCAAGCGGTGGGCAGGAAGGGGTAGGGTAGAGGGGAGTCTCAGAAGTCCTAGCATTCCTCAGCTCAGATGCCCATGAGAAGGCATGATTTTCTAACTTTGGCTTGGTAGATGTCTCCTACTATATACTCAGGGGCAGCCTGAGCCCCAGTTCTAAATAAAAGGTCAAAGCTGGCTGGGCTGCACAGCCAGCACTTCTACCAAGGCACTGCAGAACAGCAGGGTGGGGGAATGGCCAGACTACTGAGCTGTTCACCCCCTACCTACTCTCCAAAAGCAAAAGTGCTGCCAAATGAGGTGTTAGACCCTGCCGGCTCTTCACCAGGCACCCCTGGGGATCCCTCCCCACCCAGCATGCTCAGCCTTTCGGCAGCTTATTCTCTCCACTGTTGTTATTCACCCTCACAATACTGGGAACCAGGAGCAGGGTTTGCCTGGGATTTAACCCTGAAAATACCAAATCTGAGGATTTCCAGGGATTGCCAAATTTTTCCCAGTTAGTTCCTGTGGCCTTGGACCAGTGGCTGGGATCACTTGGTGCCTTCTCTCCACAGACATGCTGTACTAGCAGAGAAAAGGTGCTGAGAAAACTCGGCTGAGAGCAGTGTGGGCAATTCTCACAGGGAAAGGACTTGGAAAACTGGAAAGGGGAGGCAATGGGCCAGGTTTTACTTGGGCCACATGTGGGGACTTGTCACTGTCCAGAGACCAGACCCCAGGCACAAGAGAGTCATAGAAGGCAAATCCATTCATTCCTGAGGCACAAACAGAACTCCTAAAAATCCGAGGCATCTGCTAGACTCCATGAGTCTCTTTTGCTTTGAATCAGTGGCTACTGTCCTTGACTGCTCAATATGCTTGCTAGCAACGCCTCTTACTCTCAAAAGCATCCCAATTGCAGACAATTCACAGTCCCTTTTCTCAAACCAGGGAACCCTGTGCCAGCAGCACCACCCTGATCATATCTGTATTTCCATGCAAAGTCAAGTCCCACTTCCCCATCCCCAAGGAGCTTAGAGAGGGAGGAGTGAACAGACTGTGCAGCTGAACATGGGCTAAAGCCCCTCAAGGCTCTAAGTTGCCAGAGCAGCTGGGCCTGGGAATGGCTGGGGGCCAAGGCTGAGGTCACTTGGGCCTGTGGCCTTTGAGGACGTGGACACCAAGTACAGAGCAAAGGGTGGGGAACCACTGGGTAGCTAGGGAAGAGAATGGCTTGTTCCCTGGCTACCTAATGGAGGCTGGCCACGTGGGTGGGTTGATTGTCCTGGGACACCTGCCCCCTCACTCAAGTCTTTCCCTCTTGGTATACAAATGTCCTAAGCAGAGAGAGGTGGGAAGGAGAGGCAGTGCCTTGACAACTTTCAGGAGCCTGTTCCCAGGGCCTGAGAGTATTCCCTGTAGAGGTGGTTTTACTTTAACCTCCCATTCAGTACTCCTGTCCCTCAGGGACACCCACTGCCCCAGAGGTTGAACATCTGGGAAGACCTCTAAATCAGAGGAGTACAAGTCCCATTTCCAAGTCAAGCACAAGTTCCTCCTGCTACCCCGCCATCCCCCTTAGGCCAAATATCCTGTCACCTGCTAAAAACACCATCAAAAGCCATTGCAAAACAACCTCCAGCTTTCATGTGGTACCTCCAATGGCTGTCTTGAGAAGAGCCTGGGGTCTCTGCTGCCAGCCTCCTGTACTTGGATATGAGGAACACTGTTGAGTCATCCTTTGAAGCACCTGTGAGAACCTCAGCAGCAGCTTTTCCCTGGGGTGGGGCTGGGTGGAGGGGCTTGCAGCTTCCCAGGAAAGCAGTAGCCTTGGCCCCTATCCAGGATGATGGGTCTTCCTGCTGGCCATCTCACTTAGAATAGTTCAACCAGGAACTTGCAACCACTCTGCCAAGGGATAAGGCTGGGTTCCCTCAGCACTGGTCTCTGGGAAGCCTTGTCCCAGCACAGGTAATCCAGGTCCCTTGACAGACAGTTCCTGGGAGGGACTCCCCACGGCAGATTACCTCTCACCTAGCCAGTATCAAGGAAGTTCTCATTGGAGAAAACCAGTCTGACTGTCATCAGCTCTAAACACTGCCTTCAGGACAGTGGCTGGCCAGAGGGCCTCTAGGCCAAAGACCCCATAGGTTGAAACCCCAAATCCCACAAGCATATGCCAAAATCCAAGTAAGCCATCACCATCCCAGGTACATCAAAGGCTTAAAATTGAGGGGATCTGTCAGGGTAAGACCAGGCTTCAGTGTGACTCATCTGCCCAGGGCTAGAAGTTATTACCAGAGGCAGAAAGGATGAGCTGTCCTATCTTTTGCCCACAGACTACCATACCACCCTGACTAATGCAGGTAGATTACATGCAGGGTGCTATGTGCCCAGCTGAAGGCACCAGCAAGAGAAGTCAGAGACCTGGGCTGCAGCCAAAAATGAGAAAATGGGGGCAGGCAGCTAAAGGGCAGGTCACAGTACAAATCACTCCCATAAGTAGGGTCTGGCCCTGGGCAGAAAAAGTCCTTAGAATTGACTCTTGCTGTCTACTCACTACCTAGTGCCCCAATACTCAGGGTCTCAGAACTGGGACTGTACCCAACAGTCTTTTCCAACCTCTGTTACTCTACTTGAAAGTATGCTTTGTTTTTGTGACAGTAGAGTACTCAGGGGTCTTAAGTAAGGGCAGACTTGGTGGGACATGGCCTCAGCCACATCCCTCCAATTATAACTAAAGTCACATAACTAGGCTGAGTAAGTAAGCACTCCCCCCACCACCATGTTCTCTCTTGGAATAACCTCTTCCACTCACAAAAGGAGTAACATTTGTCAGGAACACTAGGTTTCTTGAGTCTTCTTCTTATCAAAGAAGAAAAGCAGCAAGAACACAAAGACAAAGTCTCCCTTTCATTTAAATTTAGTTGATGCTACTTCATGGGAAAAAGTTGAAGCTGTGCCCAGGACAGCTTGGGTGGGAAATGGTCTCCTCGTGTACTTATGAGAATCCAAACAAACATGTAGCCTGAACCTGAACTCTCTGCTCTGTCACTATTCTGTCAAGGGCACCAAATGTCTACCCCAAGGAAAGATGACAACACTATTCTCTTCCCCTTGTGGAGCCAGTATGGGGTGAATGGGGGCAAGGTCAGAAACTTTGTCCCAACATGCCCTGAACAACACCTCCATGCCTCAAAACACTCAAAAGACAAGTTCCTAGGCCAGGGATGGCACATTCCTTTAGTCCCAGAACTCAGAAGGCAAAGGAAGGAGGATCTTTGTGTGTTCAAAGCTAGTCTGCTGCTGTACAGTGAGTTCTAGGCCAGCTGGGCTACATAGTGAGACTATGCCTTAAAAGAAAAAAAAAAAAAAAATAAATTTCCGAGAAACCAAAGGCAGAGCCCGGGTCAGGGTGGGCAAAAAAGCATGAGTTTAACCTGCTCAAGCATCAAAAAAAAAAAAAAAAAGATAAGTTCCTGAGAAGCCAAGGGCAGAGCCAGGCTCAGGATGGCCAGAATAGCATGTGTTTAACCTGCTCAAGCATCGGACTGGGGCTTTACTATAGGCACTCACAAAGACCTTAAAGGCTCAGGGTCAAGGCTATATGACCCTCCAATCACAGGCACTGCCCATTAAGAGAACAGTGCTTTGGCTAGCAGCCCTGCCAATTCAGCCTCACTTGCTGCAGGTACTCGATTCACCTTGTAACCATGCTGAATAGTGGAAACAGCTGCACAGGAAAGAAAGCATTGAGCACAAAGAACTGACCTGGTCCATCTGGACATAGGCTGGTTTTTGACTGTCCTTAAGTCTGGCATCTATCTGAGGAACCACACCTGCCATCCAGAGGTACCAATCCTGCCTATGAGATCACACCTGCTCCTTCCTCATATGTCTGGAACCCCAGAGAGGCAGAATGAATGGCTGTATAGGAAAGGTTCACACCAATTCCATGCATGCCAGCCCAACCTTACAACCAGGTCCTACCTTATCAATTCTGACCATCCTAGCATGAAGGTTAAAAGGCCAAGCCTTTAGTCTGAGAGTTTAGAACCCAGGCTTCCAGCTCCACAGCCAAAGCCAGCCACATCGCCCCCCTTCCTGTAACTGTAAAGACACACACACACACGTGTGTGTGTGTGTGTGTGTGTGTGTGTGTGTGTGTGTGTTCTAACTTGGGCTATAAATTCCCTTGTCTGTTAGAAATGAAAGTTTAGGACAGTAACAGCAGAGATGGTAGGCTCTTCTCACATGGTCAGAAACTGTCAATGCCCTGGCCTATAGGCAAGGCCCTTCCTACAGTAGGGGCTGACGATGGAGTATAGAGAGACTTTCACATTACAGATCCCTGAGCAAAGGCAGTGGGTAGAGAGCACTGTGCTTTAGTCCTATCAGTTTTCCATTTTACTGACAAATTGGCACAAAACTGACAAATTAGAAGGTAATCAGTCACATACAATACCAACTAGTCTTTAGGGGCTTTCTTT